TTGTTCTCTGCACACACATATGTGTGAATACATTAGAAATATTTCATATTTTATTTTTATTTTAAGTAGACATGTGTTGTTTATGAGAATTCACTCACCTAATATAATCTATTAACATCAGAAAGATATGACAAACCAATATTTATACAACACCCAATTGTTTTACGACTTTTATCTCCTAGGAATCATATACAATGATTATAAACAACAATCAGTACTAAAACATCACTCATTTTCAAAGCTAAACATATACACATCACCATTTAATTTAAACTAAAAGATCAACTTATTTTGTTTGCTAACTTTGATCAACACAGAAGTTTCGATGATGTCTCCTTCCAGAAGTGGGTTTTCACTATCACCATCTTTTTCCAAGCCACAAACTACTCTGGCTTATGAGCCATCCATCAATTGTTTATGTGGGTTAAAGGCATCTTATGTGCGCTGCAAGAGAAAGAGACTGAGCCTTCTTCGGATGTAAAAAATGGAAGGTACTTTATTTGATGGATAATATGAAATTAAGAGTTTGCCAAATTCTATCTATTGTGTAACATGCATCATATATTTTGTATGATATTTTAATTTTGATTTTGTAATTCGTTAAAAGAAAATGACCAGATTTATGCGCTTGGAAGGTGATGTGTCAAATATGAATGGCCTTTGTTTCTCTTTTCAAAATTTTAAAGCTAAATAATAGTTTCTTTTGTTTATTATCAAGACTTAGGTGGAGGGAATTCGTAATGTGTGTAAAACTGATTTTTATAATGTGACCTATGTTTGCATTCCCAAATAAGGCATAATAATCTTTTAGTGCCTAATTGTATTTTCTGAATATGTGTGTGAATGAAATTAAATGACCTATGCTAAGCATATTTAGGTTTGAAATGACACATTTCAGTTGCATCTTAATTTGCAATATTATTTTAGGAGGTCAATCAAGTTTAAGTTTAATCTAATATTCTCACACGATTTTATTATGAAGTTTAACTACTACTACATGCGTACGTACAAATTATTCTTTGCTGGAGAATAGTTAAAGGTGTTGCAAATGACCATTATTGTATTACTACGTATATGAAAACCCAAAAGATTCCTTAATTAACCCATGAAATACACTTTTACCAGCCAAGGCTCGTGATAAAAGTAGACCTAAAGTGAGTATTATTTTTAAGGAAATTATAAAAGTAGAAAGCAAAACCCCATTATAATGGCTTTTTTGTTTAGAGATTTTCGAGAGGGAAGATGTTTGAAATTTATTCTTACATTTAAATTTATTTTTACATCTAATAGGGTAGCATACAATTGAAATAATTGAATAAATACTTCTACTCCAAAACTAAGCAAAAAGAATTATGTAGGAAAATAAGAATTAAATGTACATACCCCTCATATATCCCTGAACCAAAACTAGTTCTTTCTTTAAATATCTGTAGGTCTCAATTTTGAATCCATGAAAGTATAGCCATTATTTTAAATACAAGGGAAAATAATTTTAAATAGTACCAACTATCACTCATCAACCAATAATAATACATAATTTGAAAAAAATGATTTTTAATAATATCAACTATTTGAATGCAAAACAAAAATAATATGAAGTCACTTTTTTTTTACAAGAAATCCACTCATTTAGGACATCAAAAACTAATAGCAAAACATCAATTCCCAAATAAATGATATTCGGAAATACAATCATTTATTTGATATTTTAATTTCAGTTTTTGGTGAATTAAATGACATTTTTGGTAAAAAATGCTCTATATCACTTTTGGTCTATATGTAAAGAGTTGACATTATTACAAGTTATTTCCAAATTACATACGATTCTTAGTTAATGCAAGATGCATGGTTTGTAATATTTAAAGCTATTTTTCCAATTCAATTGTTTAACAATCGTGTTGGGCAATTTTCCAATTCTTAGTTAGTGCTTTTATACTTCAATTGTTTACAATTGTTTTCCTCGTTAATCCTTATTTTGTTAAATCTGAATTAGCTTCTACTTTTTTTTATGTTAGTGTTAGTTTTGATTTTCCAATGTATTTAAATAATTGAAGAAGAGGTTAAAATATACGAGATTTCCCAAATAGGAGTAAATATAGTTTGTTATTTCAAAATAGAACTACTATGTTTTTATTTTTGAAATAGGACTAAGACAATATTTACTGCCATGTTGTAGGCATGACAATATTTATTATAATTAATGACAATATTTTTCAATCATGACAAAATTTTTCACACATGGCAATCACAATTCATATTTTTGAAAGAGAAACATAATAGTCCTGTTTTGAAATTTCAAACCTTATTTACTCCTCCTATTTAGGGCATTTTCCCCTTAAAATATCAACTTTCCTATAACATAAAACTTGCATGGACACTCTTTCTTTGCAATTATGCATAACTGACATTTTCAAGCACACTATCTTCTAGACTTCTATGAATCGGTGAATCATGACTGTAAGAAAAGTGATTTCATAGAACTATATCGAACAAATATGTGATAATCTCATAGTTTAGAAATTAAACACTGATTCATCTCATGATCATGCTCCAAGTGATATATTGGTATAATATAGGATTGCACTAATTAAATGTGATCGCGATAATAAGTCCAAAATTATAGTGAAACACTGAGACATATAATGAATATTAACCAAAAAAGAATTCAGTGGTAGTCTCTTAATCTAATTTTGACAATTAGCCACACACAACACCAAACAAAAATCAATGTTCTAACATAAGAAATAAAGAGTACTAGGAAAGGCACGTTATAGATGTCATTTATTTGCAAATATACAAGACTTGTTACAAGTATCAAACACTGGGAGGTCATTCTCTCTCTCTCTCTCTCTTAATTTCTCCATTTTTCTTTGGTCGATTTTAACAACTATATCATTATATAATTAGACTGCATGTGACCAATACCATGTGAAGCTATAAGAGTTCGTAAAGAGAATATAAGCCCTGATCCGCATGGGTAGTTCAATTGGTTGAGTGGCGGAAAACATGAACATTGACAAAAGATCGAAACACGCAACGATTGTGTGGAGGTTACCTTTGTGCTAGGTTGGATCTATGATGAACACACTTACAAAATCTATCACCATTTGGCTAATTGAGTTGCCGTGAATTCAAAGCTCCCAAATGTCTTGTTGAGTCGAGGAGTAAGAGCCGTTGGAGTTGGAGTTGGAGTTGGAGATTCAAACTTTTGGAACAAACAAAATAAATTGTGAGACTATCATTTGAGCCAATGATAGAGGTTGAAACTGAGTCATAAATGATGCAGACTCGTACCAGGCACCATTTGGAATTGCTTTGTGTAGATGTTCTTAGTTTGGCAATATTGTATAGTATATTCTGTACTCCCTCCGTAACATTCATATCTTCTCACTTTCCTTTTTTGGACGTAACATTTATATCTTCCCATTTCTAAATCTTCCAATCATACCCTCAATAATTTAAAAAATAATACACTACTACGCCTATTTTTTTTGGATTTATCCTTCATTCCATCACATTATTTAACAATCTTCCCATCATACCCTCAATAATTCATACCCCATTTCACTATTCTTAATCTCACCCACTTTGGAAGTGGGAAGATATATGTGATAGGGAATATCTTATGCGTCTCATGTTACACTACATAGTGCAGTACCATTCAGTGAAAAAGATTGCAGTTTATGGTCTAGTCATTTGGCCGTGTTCCTACTATTGATAATGAAGCTTTCTTTAGTAATCTATCTATTCCATGCTCGTTTAGGTAGGCACTCAGACTTTGATTTGATTCAATCCAAACTTGATCATCTTTTAAACGTAGAGTAACTAAATTTGTTCTAAGCGTTAAAGTAAAAAAGACATTTCTTAAATCCTCAAAAACACATTTTGTAATTTGTATTCTAAGATTATCAAACTTTATATTAGTGAATTTAATGAATTGATAACAACCAAAATAGATAAAATTAATGTTGCTTTTCTAGCTTAATTGATTGAAGTATCTATAGAATACGTAGTACGTAGTATAATCTTAGCTATATTCTTATGTAATTATGTCTTTACTTTGTTAGTAAAAATGAATTATATTTTAAATATAATTTTTCATAGTTCATCAGATTCAAACAATTCAGCTATTTAAAAAATAATTATACTTTTCGGGAGATACGTCCATTTAAGCCAATTCCAGTGATACTAAACGTTATTTAAAAGCTCATTTGGTAACTCGTATTTTCAGCCTTATTAGTGAATAATCTTAAAAAGTAAAGTTGAAATTACATTTGTGATAGAATTTCGTGAAGTTACTGTACAAGACTCTTACGGAGTATAACACTATTTTCCATATAATCTTTTTGATCTGTTTATATATTTTAAATATAATTTTTCAATAATTGAGAAAAGATATCCAACATTTTATCAATTTTAATGTTATCGAAAGCTCTACACCTATCAATGTTCCTTCCTTGAGAATTTCCAGTACTCATAAAGTCATAACAAGCCCCAAACAAGGGCACCGATCTTTTTTTTTTTGAGTTGTGTTGGAGATTCCATGAACGGCTGGATACTCATGCTGACTCATACATACACCTGGATCCACGTATTCGCCAATGGAACAATCCCACCAGTCCACGTGTCCGTAAAACGGGACTTGTCTTGTTGTCTGTGGCCGCACATAGAATTCCTCCATCCAACGGCCAGGAAATCCCTCTCACCAACTGATAATATTTCGTAACGTGGGCCAGGCCAGTAGTTATTAATTCACGCAAGACGACAAAAGACGGGCCCGAAACTGTTGTTTTCACGTGGGCCTAACTAGGGCACTGGCGTCATACAGGCTAACAACCCGGGGGCAGAATTGGGAATTCAGACACTGTCAACAGAAACTCCTGCTGGCATAAAACCAAACCCAGGCTGTACACAGCTGTATTCCAACCGCACGCACAGTGGATTTTTTAGTATTTTAATTTTTTTTAATGCGATTCTCTGAACCTAAAATTAAATTATTCTTTTACCAAAAATGAAATAAAACACTGACCGAGAGCAAATAAAATCGCCATTTCTTCAGATTTTCTGATTCTCTCTCTTAGCTGCTACGCAGAAATTCCAGATAAGAGTTTCGTACGATGAGATGTGAGAAAGTGAGCGAAAGTGATGAAGACGATAGCTGGTGTCTTCATCTAGGTGGCTTTACATTAGCTCTCCTTTTATAGTTCTTCCTCCCCTGCTTGGAATTCTGCGGGTTTTTTGTGCTGGTTTTTTGGGGCCATGGATCCGTGTCCTTTTGTTCGGCTCACCGTAGGTAATCTGGCGCTTAGAATCCCGGTGGCGTCAAAGCCGGCTCGCACGGTGGTCCATCCTTCGTCGACTCCCTGCTTCTGTAAAGTTAAGCTGAAAGGCTTCGCGCTCCAGACCGCCGTCGTGCCGTACATTCTGCCGGACAACCAGTTTCCCGACGGGCAAGTGCAGCCTCTCGCTGCCAGTTTCCATCTATGCAAGTCGGATCTCGAAAAACTCGCCGCCAAGTCTCTGTTTGGCGGGAAGTTGCGGCTTAAAATCTCGATCTACACGGGGAGGAGAGGGACGAGCTGCGGCGTGAACTCCGGGAGGCTTTTGGGGAAGGTGTCCGTCCCGGTAGATCTCACGGGGTCGGAATCGAGGGCTATTGTGTTCCACAGTGGTTGGATTATGGTGGGGAAGGACGCGAAAAACTCGACCGCGCAGTTTCACATGAATGTGAAGGCGGAGCCTGATCCTAGATTCGTTTTTCAATTCGACGGCCAGCCGGAATGCAGCCCTCAAGTGTTTCAAATTCAAGGGAGCATTCGTCAACCGGTTTTTACCTGCAAGTTCAGTTTCCGCTCCAGCGCCGATAGGAATCAACGTTCTAGGTTCGTTCCGGCTCCATTGATTTTAATTTAATATTTTTAAATTTCAATTCTCTGTAGGAACCGACATGATTCATGAACAGTAACGTTATAAAATTTCAGTCTGTACGGTAAAGTAGGGTTTGCCCCATACATGAGTCATAAAGGTTCAAACTGCAAAAGTGACCTCTGTGGAATCGAATTTGTATCACTGTGTGTAAACCCGCCACATCATTTGAGCTTTATTCATATTTAAAGCAAAGATACGAAGCTTTCGGTGCTTTTAAACAACCTCTCTTCGTTAGCTTAGATTTAGGAGTCTTTAAAGAGTCAATTGGGAGTATACGTCCTGGAAGAACCACTCACGAATTCTTTTATTCAAATCTCCCTCCTCTTTTATTCACACTTTACAATATTTGACTAAATATAAAGTTGAGTAAGTTAGACTAAATGTAAAGCAAATTTTACTTGTAATTCCTTGAAAGGAGTAATATATAAATTATATTGTAATTAAAATTTGCATGTGTAGTAAATGTTGTAATTAGAAATTGATTGAGAGCTGAAATGAATCAATAACAGTAATGAAATGAAAAGTATTCATAAAAGGGAGTGACAATTTGTGTAATTGTGTTTGAAATTTAAATTCAAAAAGGTGAAACAATATGAAGTAGGAAGTCAATTTTGGGATAGAAAGTTTAATTAAACAGATGTGAATTTGTTCTGACCAATTTATATATACGGAAATATTTCCATAATATTTCTTTTCAAATAAAGAAATCAAATTATAGTGTGTTGACATTGAAGAACTATTCTTTAATTGTAAAGCCTTTTCTTTTAAATCACTGAATTAAAATTCTGTTAACTACTCAGTATTTCTTTGTAATTTTCTCTAAATAAATTTGTTGTATGGTTGGGTATTCAATCTACAGATCAATGCCCACAGAACATTGTGGTTCCAGGGGATGGTTGAGCTCATTTGGAAGTGAGAGGGAACGGCCTGGTAAGGAGAGGAAAGGATGGTCGATTACAGTTCATGACCTTTCCGGTTCACCAGTTGCGGCAGCATCAATGGTGACTCCATTTGTTGCATCTCCTGGTTCAGACCGAGTCAGTCGTTCCAACCCGGGTTCCTGGCTGATACTTAGGCCTGGAGATGGTACATGGAAGCCATGGGGCCGTTTGGAGGCATGGCGTGAACGTGGCTCGGCTGATGGCCTTGGGTATCGGTTCGAGCTTATTCCAGACTCAGCTTCGTCTGGAGTTGTACTGTCCGAGTCAACTCTGAGTTGCAGCAAAGGTGGGAAGTTTATGATTGACCTTGCCTCGAGCGGATCAACCAGTAATGGGACAAGGACGCCTAGGAGTTCAACTTCTCCAGCTTGCAGCCCAAGGGGCAGCGGAGATTATGGGCATGGGGTGTGGCCTTACAGAGGGTTTGTTATGTCGGCTAGTGTGGAAGGACATAGATCCGGCGGAAGCAAATCCGGTAAGCCGAGTGTGCAGGTGAGCGTGCAGCATGTGAGCTGCACGGAGGACGCCGCCGTATTCGTGGCATTGTCAGCTGCTATTGATCTCAGCATGGACGCCTGCAGGCTTTTTTCTCAAAAGCTCCGCAAAGAGCTGTGCCCTCCTCAGGATTCACTCTCTTGAGTCCTTTTTTTTTTCTTTTTATTTAGTAAATTGGGGGTGGGGGTTATTCGAATTTTTTCTACTTTATTTTTAACGAGTGCTGAAAATTTTAGGCGATGGTTTTTGCACTTTGTCGCGGTTGATTTGGCTAACTTGTGAGAGTGAGAGTAGGGGGGTGTTTGTACAGTGGAGAAGGGGAGTTTTACTGACAGGGCTGGGCAGGGTAAGGGCACGCTCGTGTGTTTTTTATTACTAGGGGTGTGTTTGAATTCTGTAACTTTGACAACCTGTTAACATTTTAAATGTCAATTGTTGCGTTTTCTCTTTTTACCCGACTTTGCTGCACGGTGGAGGAAATAATTACTCATCTCACTGTTCTATGACTTCTATCCATCTGAGGTTGAATAAATTTCCGACTTCTTCACTGCCCATTTTGTCAACCAAATCAAACACATTACTACTCACTTTTTTTCAATCATCTCCAAATTTCCATAGAAACCAGAACGGTTTCCTGAAGTACATTACTTCTCTTCGATTTATTTTATCCCTGATCTTAATAGACCAATTCAAAATTAATAAGCACAATATTACAATAGAAATCATATTATGATAGGGCTAAGAATCAACAAATCGATGATTTGACTCGATGAATCAACTACATGATTTAACTCCTAGGAACTGATGACAGGCTTTGCTCGCGGACTCGCCCTTAGAGAGCAACTCACGTTTATCGCCGACCTAATCACTCATGACTGGGAAATTGGGAATTGCCGGAAGGAATTAATTCAAAATTGAACAGTTAAGGCACATATGGATATAGGGATGGACCCGGGCCGGTCCGGTTCCGGTTCCGGGCCGGGCCCGGGCGGGCTTTTTTTCGGGTTACATGGGCCCGGAACCGGCCCGGGTTGATACCGGGTCCGGGCCTATCCGGGCCGGGCCGGGCCGGGCCCGGTTCAATGTTTTGTTTTTTTTTTTTTTTTTACTTTCTTGTTATCTCCCTACCCCCCCCCTCACCCCCACGCCTCAAACCTCCCTAAAACACCCAGCCCTACCCTAGGAAAAGAAAAAAAATTGAAAAAACCAAAAAAAAAAAAAAATGAACCGGGCCCGGCCCGAACCGCCCGGGCCGGTTCAACAAAAATAGGGTCCGGAACCGGCCCGCCCGACCCGCCAACACGGGCTAAAAGCCCGGAACCGGCCAACCGGGCCCGGTCCGGTCCGGGCCCGCACAGTAGCGGGCCGGTCTGGTTCCGGGCCGGTTCGGCCCGGCCCAGTCCATCCCTATATGGATATGAAATAGGAAACTCTAGATTCACTCTTTGGAATTATAGAGGGCTTAGAGCTAGGGAGTCTCGTGATTCCTGCTTGGAGCTCCACTTGTACACCCAAAACCAACCCTTCACTCTTTGCACACAGTGCGATTACACATGAATAATTCTTCATTCAATTCAATAGGTGAAGATGAGGAGGAATAGGCGGTGACTCTTGACCCAAAGTCCAAAGACGATCAGATGTTAGTTAATGATACTAGGTATTGTAAAATACTTTTATTTGTTAGAAATAATAAGTGATTGTATTTAGTAAATGAGTGGTTGTGAATACTATCATACTAGTATAACTTAATTTTGAGAGAATTCTTTAAATAGGAGTTAAAATATTTTGAAATTCCAAAATAGGAGTATCTTGTTTTTTTATTCCCTAAATAGGAGTAAATTTCTGCCAAGTATGAAATTAGAGGGCTTTAAACATGGCATATTACTCCTATTCAAGGAATAAAAAACATGATACTTTATTTTGGAATTTCAAAACGTTTTTGCTCCTGCCTAGAGCAATTTCTATATAACTTTCCATGAGAAAACTTCTATTGGGATATTGGCTGACCGTGTAGTGGGCTGGCCCAGTTCCACTGAAAGCCATCAGCCCATCACTTGAAGCCCCTCCTAACACCAAGCGAAAGGACTGGACGATCCCTTCATGGACTGGACGGAAGTAGAGGCCGAAGCACACCTTGTGGACTGACAGAATATTTCAAATGGAGTAATAGACCTTTACCAAAAGTATATCATACTTGCATACTTTTCATACATTGTACTCCGTATAACTTACTTTGTACTTTGTATTTATTTTGAAAATGATTTACCCCAATATTGTAGTACGTATATGTTTTGTATTAACAAACAGTATTACATTTGCACAAAAATATATTCTCTTCGTCTCATAAAATACTACAGTTCTCGCATTGACTTGGATCGTAGTTTAAGAAAGTGAGAATAAAGTGAAAATATATGATTGTAGTTGAGTAAGAAAAATGTAAATGAATGATAACCACAAAACTTTCCGAAAAGGGAAATAAGAAATATTTTTTGGGACGACCTAAAAAACAAAACGGGAACTATTTTGAGGGACGGAGGGAGTACTACTCAATTCTGTAACACTAACATCGAGAAATAAGCAAATGGTGCGGTTATTAAACACACGGTTTACGTTTTGTATAGAATAAATCATTTATATTGAACATTATTTAACTTTTGTATTAATATATAACACGTTAATCACATGTTTTTAAGACAACCATAATAATATGAATTAGATTGTTTAAACACTTACGAATATACATGGCCGGTTCATATTAAAATCTTGTACACATTTAGAGTTTTAGTTGTGAGGGGCGGGGGCGGGGGCGGGGGCGGCGCCCGCATTTCTAGCTTTATACCTCCTCCAACAATGGCATTTATTGTGGCAACACACCAATACTCCGAAACATAGGAGCGCCATGCAAATGACCAGTCCAATGCTTGCAAAAACAAGTTTAGCAATAGCAAGATTGCGTAGAGTAGTTCGTCGAGATGAAGACATGCGGCGGCGGCGGCTGCGTAGTGGACGGTGCGGTGGCTGCTCTTTGTACATGATGATTCGAAGGTGATGGTTCCGCCGCAGCAAAGGATTCCCTGCGAATGAGGAAGGAGGGAAGCGTTGGAGGAGAGGCGGAGGAATGGGGCCGCTGAGATGGTTGTTGCTTAGGTTCAAGCGGCTGAGGCTTCTGGGGAGGGAGGGCGGGATGGGTCCGGTCAGGGAGTTATTCTCGAGGCGCAGCGTTTGGAGGGCGTCCAGTCTTGCCATTGCCCTTCCCGGTATGGACCCGTGGAGCCTGAAACCGGGAAGCTCCAGCGCAACCACTCTGCCGCCGCCGCCGCCATCTGCAGGTGACCAGCTGCATTTCACACCAACCCATCCCCTGCACATAGCGACTTTCTTGCTCCACCCCAGTTGCCGCCGGCGGCCGTGGCCGTGGAGGCGTTGACCAAAACTAGAAGCAAAGTCTAGAAGGGCTCGTTTGTCCGTTCCCAGATCTGATGCGGTGGCCACTGCTTCTAGGTCTTGGATTACAAGTAATAATAATAGGAGAGGAAGACAACACATTCTTTGCTGCAGTATCATCACTTGCTTGATCTTCATCCCAATAATATAATCAGCGAGCTGTCCTGCCCGGATTCCCGGCCCTGATTCATCAAAAGGCATTGTGCAAATAAGAGTAATTAAATGCATGTGTTCCATTATGTCAGGTTGCTTAGTTCATCTCCAATGTTAAAATGTGCACCATGCACATGTGGCATTAGTGATAGCCACGTAAATATTAGCAAATAAATTATCTCTCTCCTTATTTGAATGATTTTATACAATTTTGGTAAGTTTTTCCCTGCAATGTTAACTGCAATGTCAACATTTAGACGGTCTCCTTGACATTGTGAAGAAAAACTTACTAAATCTGTATAAAATCATTAAAATAAGGAGAGAAAGAATTTATTTACTAATATTTATGTGGCTATCTCTAATGTCATGTGTGCACCGTGCACATTATACCATTGGAGATGCTCTTATAGAGGTTATTTTTGCACTTTTTTAATTAATTCGAGGACTTGTTTGCTACTTTTCCCAATGAATCAAATATGTACGAAGCATTTAGAAATACTTTGATGAAGTTGCAAATTCTCAAGCATATTAAGGGAGTGTTTGCAATTGCTTAAAAGGGACACTTCTCGGTTTTTGGCTTAAAAAAGCACTTATTTACCAAACACTACAAATTTTTACTTTTCTCGGCTTTCGTGTCAAAAGTGCTTTTCCCCTTTTTATACACCAAAAGCACTTATACCAAACACTACCAACTTTTACTTTTCAAAATCACTTTTTCTCAAACACTATAAATTTTTATTTAATCACTTTTTCCAAAAAGTACGTTTTTTTAAGCAGAAGCTGTTGCAATCACTCCCTAAAAATGAACACTCATTTCCATTATTTGCAATGGAGCCAAAGATTCATTATTTTTGGCTTGATAATATGATGGAATAAAGAAAAATGACTCACTAAATTGTCTGCTCTTCTTTGTTATGAAGCAATAGTCAGTCCATGCAATTTTGGACGCGATTTTCACTATGGGTCATCCGGAAACGGTCTCTCTGTGCTTTAGTACAGGGGTAAGATTGCGTACACCCGACCCTCCCTTTGCGGCACTGGGGTAAATGAAAATGAAAAATGAATGATTAAAAATCAACACTCCACATGCATGTACTGTGGAGTACGTAGTATATATTAAGTGTAACAATGTAACCGTTAAACTTCACAAATAATGTGCAAAAAATTATATTATAATTATATGGGAAAACTGTCAAATAGGTCTTCGAACTTTCATAAAAAAGTCAATTAAGTCCTTCTATAGGAGACTCTGTCCGGTTGTCGCGATTTGGGGTGGTTCTAGGTGCAATTTTTTGATAAATTTTTTTGAACATCTTATTCATCAAGTCTAGTTTACTCATAACAAATTTCAGCTAAAAATTTAATCGGGAGCGCATTCAAATTAATTCGAGAACGGAAAAATGAGCAGTTATCTTCAAGAATTAATTTGAATGTGTTCCCGATTGAATTTTTAGCTGAAATTTGGTATGAGTAAATTAGACTTGGTGAATAAGATGCTCAAAAAATTTCATCAAAAAATTCCACCGGGAACCGCCCCAAATTGCGACGGCCAGACAAAGTCTCCTATAGAAGGACTTAATTGACTTTTTTATGAAAGTTCGAAGATCTATTTGACAATTTTCTCTAATTATATTGAATTAGTTTAAACATGCCAAAATTAGAACACAATTATAGAGTCACTTTTAAATTAGTTTAGAATTTTAAAAAGTCGGAACAAAAACAAAATATAAAAGAAAGTGGGCCGGGATTCGAACCCTGGATCAACCTGAACTAATGTACACGCAAGAGCCTACACCACTCTGCTATCATATCTTTTTGTTACCGATCTCCTTTTTTGAGAGGGAGTTACCAATCTCTATTTGATAGATATGTATACATTAATTACTCCCTCCGTCTCACAAAAATGTAACACTTTCCCTTTTGGAATGTGTCAAAATAAAATGAGTGGTAGCATATATAAGGTGGCAGCATTTTTCGGTCTATTTTAATTTCAGCGGAAGTTTTCACAAGGTGGCAGCATTTTGGAACGTTTTTTTGACCGAAATGGTACATTCTAATTTAAATAATCTTAATAGTAACAAATTTATCAATTACACGACATAAACTGCAATTACGATGATAAGTAACGAGAAAAATAATAGACACAAAGACAAGGTACGATCGACACAAAGATAATCCTAATACTCCTTTAATACGGACTATTTTGTTTTCGATCGGCTTTGTTTTTCCAATTAAAATGTATAAACGTCAAATGGTTTTCAAATATCAACTAAAATGACAAAAACTGAAATGTTAGGTTGGATATATTGATATACGTACATACTCTTTTTGTGGCCCCAATTAATCTTTTTTACCAATTCGAGTCCATCAACAAACTTCTTTAAAAAGTTAAATGGTTTCTTTGTGATGGATTTAAGAAAACAAAAAATGCAAAGAATTTTGTAAGGCATGATATAAAAAAGAAAATTTTGAATAAAGTTTTCACTGGATGTATTTCAAAGTAATATACTCCATACTACTATACGTATTTCACAATGAGAGAATTCATTCAGTTTAAAGGAAATATAAAACCGCATGCAGGAGATTATATGGCTTGGAATCAAGTCGATAAGTCGATGATCTTCCCTCTAGCCAGCTACTTATATACTTCGTATATAAGTATCAGCTTAACTTTGAAAGGTAAGTTTCGTATCAACTTTGAAAAGAAAAAATATGGAGATTTGTGGTGTTAGTTCCCTAACTCTCGTGTAGATACAGTGGATTCGGATTCGTTATTAGTATGGTAACTTTACTCACTTGTAGATTCGATCTTCTAATAAATATGTTTGTGCAATTCAAGGAGTTATCCACCGGAACTCCGGAACTCCGGAACTCCGGAACTCCGGAAGGTATAGTTTTCGACAGAAAATTTGACGCTTCAGCTATTACTCGAATCGAAAAGTGTAGAACCTCTCAAATTTTGGGTGGAAATTTCTTAAATTGCACATATTCATTAGTTAAAATACCAAATTTGAATAAAATTATAGAACTAGTAACTGATACAACCGAATATTACACAACCAAATTGCAAATCACCCAAAACTATATGAGGATACAAAACACAAAAAAGAATGTTAAACAAAGACAAAGGTATTCACTTGTTAGAGACAAAACACATTTTTTAAATTCTTATTTAGAGAATTTTCTGAAACTACGTATAATGTTTTTAGACAAAATGTTTATTCATAGACTACGTATAAACTGAAACAAAAAGAAAGTTAATTGTAATTATTTATAAGTGAAGGGTCTGTTATTTTGGGACTGTAGAAAAGGGAAGATGTTCATTAATCATACTACGAGTACTACTTAACAAGCCAAAATCATTTTGATGCTGTATAAGTGTCCAACTTGGACGATATATGCAGGGTGGAGACAGGGAGGGGCTGGCAGTGGCCACAGCCCCTGCGAGAAAAAAAATCTTGAGTATATATTATGTATAAATACTTTTAATCTGTAGAAACTATGTTGATATTTTAAACTTTGGCACCTGCAAGGTAAAATTGTTAAGAACCGACCCCTTTAACCCTAAATGTTTGACTCCGCCACTATATATATATGCATAAACGGATACAGAAAGCCCACCTTAGCTTAGCCTCAAAGTGCGTGTTAGGAAATGCGGGGGTCAAGAGCTAATACGGATTTTAATACAGAAGCTTAACTTCTTGAGAGCTAAAGCTAAGCTAATAAATAGATCGAGATGAGAAAAAATGGAGCCTAGCTTGTTGTTCACGTTTCTTCGCGGCCATGTCGCACTTCCCATTTATTCACATTTTTTATTTCATTGATTTTCCCTTCTTTTGACATTTCCCTTTTTTTGTTGTGTTTTTTTAAGTTGAAAAGCTGCATTCAAAAAAACTGGAAAAGCTAGTCAGGGTTCGAAAATAATTTAATACTCCCTCCGTCCCTAAATGTTGTTCCAATTGCGGATTACGAAGGTTGACCGACGATAAAGTTAAATGATCCCTGTGAAAACTCGGATTATATTTAGTAAATAAATTTTACATATTCAGAAACTACATTAAACCCGCTACAAAGCCTGCAAAAAATAATTCAACTTTTATAAAATTTTGATATAAAAAGTAAGAGTTTAAGAGTGATTTAAGTTGACCCTCGATAAGCGAAATGGAACTTCTTTTAGGGACAGAGGGAGTAATACAAATACAAAGTAATAATAAAAGGAATCTTGTGTGATTGACAAGGAATCGGTAAATGATATAAATAAATAAAACTAGGCATGCTCATTGTTCTAAAAATCGGCCTAGGCGGACCGATTAATCGGCCTAGGCGGCCTAGTCGGCCCTAACCGTAGAGGCCGAATCGGCCTAGTCGGCCAAAAAATCGGCCTAGTCGGCCTAAAAATCGGCCTAGTCGGCCGCCTAGGCGCTAGGCGCCCCTCAACCGCCCGACTAGCGCCTAGCGAGTTTTAGAACAATGGGCATGCTATATGTAGTATGTACCGTGTACAAGGAACGAATTATCTTTTCCCTCTTAAGAGTACTTCAAAGAAATAAATTACCATACAGAAATAGTAATAAATCATTCATTGATCTTTGAACTTGGAACAACGTGGATTCCCTCCTTAATTGAAAACTTTATGAGAATTCTACTACGTATAATATTAGAGATGACTAAAATTATATATCTTTATGCGTGTGAAGAAGTATTCAATGTTCTAAAATATTCCAGATCTTTCTAGAAAACCGTAAAATTATATAGAAGCGTGTGAAAGAGTGTAGATTAATCTAGAAGTTCGTGGAATTTTCTAGAGAAATACATAATTCTCTAGAACCATATGCAAATGGATTGAAGTCTTAGGAACATTTTTAAGAGATACAAAGTTTTCTAGATCCTTCCAGAACACTAGAGAATCTTGTAGATAATTCATGGAAGGCTCTAGAAGTATAAGGGTGAGACACTTCATTCCAATGACAGCCTTGAGGAGTGCTCTTAGGAAAGAAGAATGAGAGTCTGGCCTTCTTGTAAGAGAACTAAAAAATGAATCTTGATGAGCTAGTGCGAGTGAAGAGCATCCTTAAGGGTGCGACGAGACAATCCAAGAAGGTCTCTCATAAGGTAGAGTGACATAGATTGTTGGATGATCCCAGATCAACAGTCGATTAAATAATACACAAT